CCCAGTGCCCCCCCAAGTCCATCCCAGTGCCCGCCCAGTCCCTCCCAGTGCCCTCCCAGTGCCCTCCCAGTCCATCCCAGTCCCTCCCAGTCCCTCCCAGCCCCTCCCAGCCCCTCCCATCGCACGCACCACACCCCTCCTCGTCGGAGCTGTCGCGACAGTCGGGGGTCCCGTCGCAGCGCCAGCGCCTGTGCACGCACTCCCCGGAGCCGCAGGGGAACTGCAGGGGGGGGCAGGCGCGGGGGGGCCGGGGGGTCCCGCACAGCTCCGGCTCCTCGTCCTCCCCGTCGCGACAGTCGGGATCGCCGTCGCAGCTCCAGAGCCGCGGGACGCAGCTCCCGTCGCGACAGCGGAAGGAGGAGGGGGCGCAGGGCGGCGGCGAGGGCGGGGGGGCGCAGCCCAGCTCGTCCCCCCCGTCGGGACAGTCGCGCTCCCCGTCGCAGGCGAAGGATCGCGACAGGCACGAGCCGTCCCCGCAGCGCAGCTGGTCCGAGGGGCACGGCGGGGGCGCTGGGGACGGGAGACCATCGGCTCAGGGACCCCCAAAATCCCCCCAGGAACCCCCAAAATACACCCGAGGAGCCAAAATATCCCCTGGGACCCCTGAACCCCACCCCGGGTCCCCACTCCCCCACCCAGAGACCCCCAAAAGCCTCCAGAGACCCCCCCCCAGCCTTCCCCCTCCCGCAAGGACCCCAAAACATCCCCAGGGACCCCCCAAAACCCTCCCCGAATTCGGGGGGCCCCGGGGGGAAACTCCAGCCCCGCGTGTTCATCCGGGGGTCCCTTTTTAGGGGTCCCGGTCCCATTTTGCGGGGTCTTTCCGCATTTTGGGTGATTTTAGCCCCCTTTTGGCGTGTTTTGGCTCCACTTTGAGAGTTCCGATCCCATTTTGGAGTTTGACCCCACTTTGGGAGCGCTCTGCTCCCATTCGGGGAGGTGCCGGCCACATTTTTGGCGAGTTTTAGTCCCGTTTTTTGGGTCCCGGTCGCGCTTTTGGGGCTCCCGGTCCCATTTCGAAGGGTTTTGGTGCCATTTTCGGGTGTTTTACCCCTTTTTGGGGGGGGGTCCCGATTTCCGCCCCGGCCCCACCCGGGCGCGCCCTCCCCGCGCGCCGCGCTCTGATTGGCTGGCGCAGGCCCCGCCCCCGCGGGTGGCCAGTCTGGGCTCAGGCAATGGGAGCCGCGTCCGTCGCGGGGCGGGGCGGGCCTCGCGCGCTGATTGGGCCTTCCCGGGCCGGGGGGGCGGGGCCTCCCAGCCCGTGGGGCGGGGAGTGACACGTGGGGGGGCCCAGGGCGACTTTGGGGGTCGTGGGGGGTCACGAAGGGGTCACGGGGGAGCCCCAAAACCAAACGCTCCCCGGTTCCCCACCCGCGGGACACCCCGGGAAGGCGGGAGGGGCGTCCCCGCTTTGGTGGGGACAAATCCCGGGCCGAGGGGCGACCCCCGGTGTCCCCCCCCCGTCCCTCCCGGTTCCCTTCACCCCTTTCCCAGCCCTTCCCGCGATTCCCGGTGCCTTCCCCCACCCGAAACGTGGGTCTGGGCGTAGGGGGGTCCCCCACCCCCTCCAGACCCCCAAAATCCCCCCTTTCCCCCCTCACCTGCGCTCGGTGTCGCCGCCGCCGTTCCCAGGAGGAGCAGGAGGATCCCGGCGGTCCCGGTGCTTCCCGCTCTACTCCCGCTGGTCCCGGATCCGCTCCCGGCTGTTCCCGCTCTTATCCCGGTGCTGCCGGGTCCCATCCCGGTGTTTCTCGGCTCCTTTCCTTTGGCTCTGGGCTCTGTCCCGGTTTTCCTGCCGGGGTTCGTGTCCTGGCGCTCACCGGGAGCGGAGCCGGGGCTTGGAGGGATCCGGGCGCTCGGTGCGGATCCCGGTACCGCTCAGTCCTGTGCTGGCCCCGGTGCTGATCCCGCTCCGGTCCGGTCTGTCCCGGCGCTCCCGGTGCTGATCCCGGTGCTGATCCCGGTCCGGTCCGCTCCGGTCTGTCCTGGCGCTCCTGCTCGGTGCTGATCCCGGACCGGTCCGGTGTGTCCCGGCGCTCCCGGTGCCGCCGCCCGTGGCCGCGGATCCCGCCGGGCCCCATTTAACGGGCGGGGGGAGGAGCTCGGGGCGTTCAAAAGGTGGAGGGTGGGGCAGGAAAACCGGGAATGAGGGAGGGACAGATGGAAAGCCGGGATCGGGGGAGCCGCCGGCACCGGGGCGAACATCGGGATGGAGGGAGGAAAACCGGGATAAAGGCAGGAAAGGAAAACCGTGAGGGACGGGGAGAAAGCCGGGATAAAGGGAGGAGAAGCGGGAGGGAAGGAGGGAAAAGCAGGAAGGAGAAAGGGCGCGGCACGGGGGTCCCTTTTCCCACCCCCACCCAAAAGCTGCTTTTTGAGTGTTTTCCCTCTTTTAACGCCGGATTAATCGCGGGTTTTCCACCGGGGGCGATTCCCGGGGGGGTTTGGAGCAGGATCGGAGGGTGGGGGGGGGCACAAGGGGGTTCAGCTCTCCCCAACTCCTCCCGCCCCCCCCCAATTCCCAGGGGAGGGAGGGGTCGCTGCTGTGGCACTTCGGGAATGACACGAACTCCACTGTGGGGGGGACACCCCAGGAACCCTCTGAGACCCCCCCTCAATACCCCAGGGACTCCCCAGTGCTCCCAGAGCCCCCAGTACCCAGAGTCACCCCCACAACACCCCCTGAGACTCCTCTGGAACCCCCCAGTTCCCCCCAGGATCTCCCCTGGAAACGACTCAGCTCCTGTAGGATTAATTTATTAATTAATTATCGACTGCTGGGAATCCAGGGACAGCGACAACGCAGGGAGGTGGGACTGGGATCAGCCGGGAGGATCCCAGGGGATGGAAGGTGGTCCGGGACAACCTGAGACCACCCAGGATGATCCAGATTGGGACCACTCAGGACAGGCTGGGATGATCCAGGACAATCCAGGGACAATCTGGGCTGATCTCAGATGATCCAGGAGGACCAAAGACCACCCGGGATGGTCTGGATCGCCCTGGACAGTTCGAGACCATCTGAATCTGGGACAGCCCAGGACCACTTGGGACAATCTGGATCTGGGATGAGCAGGGACAACTTGGGACCATCTGAAACAACTTGGGATAAGCCCAGCTGGACCATCCAGGACCACCTGGATCCGGGATGATCTGGGAGCTCCGGTGGCTGCGGCAGTGCCGGTTCTGGTATAAATACGGACGAGGTTGGACGTGGTTTTTTGGGATTTTCGGGATTTTGGGAATTCCGGTGTCGCTGCCGTCGGAGCTACAGGGGAGAGTGGGGGCAGGGGGCTCTGGGGTTTCGCAGAATTCTGGAGCCGTGGAATGTTTGGGTCAGTCGTCCTCGGTGCCGCTGCCGGAGCGATCCTGGAAAGGGGAAAAGGGGTGAGGAACTGGAGGCCAGGATGAGGCATTTGGAGGGTTCAGGATAGGATCTGGGAGTCAGGCCATGGATTTGGGATTGAGATGGGGCACTTTGGGGTTCAGCTCAAGATCTGGGGTCAGGATGAAGGGTTTGGGGGTCATTCCCAGGATTTGAAGGTCAGAGTGAGGGGTTCAGGGTCACTCCCAACGTGTGGGGTCACTCCCAGGATTTGGGATCAGGATGATGGATTTGAGATCACTGCCAGAATCCAAAGTCACTCCTGGGATTTGGGGAATCCAGCCCAGGTTCAGGGCAAGGGTGAAGGATCGGGAAGTCACTCCCTGGATTTGGGGGTCTCAGGATCCAGAGGCATTCCCGGGTTCTCTCACCTCCTCCTGCTCGTCCTCGCTCTCGTCGTCGCTCAGGAGGGGTTTGGGGCGTCCCCCCCGCCCCCCCCGGCGCCGGCCCTTCCCACGCTCCGGAACCTTCTCCTTTCGGCCCAGACGGATCTTCACCTTCACTGAGCGGGCTGGGGGGAATCCAGACCCTCCAAATGATCCTGATCCTCCATCTCCATCCCCATCCCCATCCCATCCCCACCCCCATCTCCATCCCCATCTCCATCCCCATCCCCATCCCCACACCCACCCTCGGACTCGGATCCTTCTTCCTCTCCCTCCTCCTCCTCCTCGCTCTCCTCTCCGTCACTTTCCTCCTCCTTTTCCACCTTCTGCCGGACGCTGGTGAACACGGACTGCAGCACGATGGAATCCTCGTAGATCTGGGGGAAAGTCCCGGTCACTCCAGCCCATTCCAAGCCATCGTGGCTGTTATTCCAGGCTGTTCCTGGCCATTCCCAACCCTTCCCAGGCACAATTCCAGGCCATTCCTGGTTATGCTGGGGGCTCTTTCCTGGATTTCCGTACCAGGGACCCCTCCAGGTTGAAGGTCTGGGCGTTCTGGCACAGCAGCATCACGTCCTTCTCCAGGTCGTTGAGGCTCCGGTACTTGTGGTTTCGGATCCGCTCCTGGGAGCAGGAAAAAGGATGGGGGGGGGCTCAGGGGGTGGATTCCAATGGATCCTGACAGATCCTGGCGGATGCCGGTACCTTGATCTTCTTGAAGTCCACAGGTTTCCGGATGAGCTCGTAGTACTCTGGCAGCTCCTTGCGGGATGGGAGCTGGATGAAAACTTCACTCAGCTGTCGCCCGCTGCTGCTGTGGGGGGGGAAAATGGGCGTGAGGGGTGGCCTTCCTCATCCTTTTCCTCATCCCATCCCATCCCACTCCTGATCTTCATCCCCTCAGAGCCATGGTTCCCTGGGAACACCTGGGAACCCGGCAGCACCCGGCCCCCCTCACCTGTCCTTGTACTTGATGACTGCATCCACGATTTTCCGCATTTTCCGAGTGAGGGGGGGTGGATTTGGGGACAGTTTTTCAGCCGGGGGCCGGCCCCTCTTCTTCTGCTTCCGGCTCTCCTCGTCCTTATCCCGGCTCCGGGCGCTTGGGGGGGGCCCCGTGGGACCCTCGGGCTCTCGCTTCCGCTTCCGAGAGGATTTCTTCTGCCGGACTTCCTCCTCTATCTCCTCCAGTGTCCCCTCCTCGATGGCCTGCAGGAAACGGGGATCCTTGGGATTGGGGATCGACAGGGATGGGGCGGGCCCACAGGGACGGGGGGGTCCTGGAAAGATGGGGATTTCCAAAGGGACAAGTGCTCCCAGGGACCCCTGGAGTGTTTTTTTTGGGATCCACAGGTGGTTTCTGCCATCTGGGGCAGCTTTCTAGGCCTCACAGGTGTTTTCTGGGACCTGCTAGAACTTTGTGGACATTTTGTGAGTGTTTTCCCACACCCCATGGGACTTTTCCAGGTCCTTCCAGGAACCCTGGAGGTTTTCTGGGACCGTAGACCTTCTCCAGCCCCCACAGGCACGTTCCCATCCCTCTGGGTAGATCCACCCTGGGAATACCTTGAGCCACTGTTTTTCCGTGAGGGAATCGCTGTAATCCACTTCCTTGCGGTGCCGGGAGCCGCGGCCGAACATCTTCTCCTCCTCTTCCTCGCAGGTGAGCCGCTCCACCTCGGCGTCGTCCTTCAGGATCCAGGACGGGAGCTCGTCCTCCTCCATCAGCCGCGGCTTCCGCTTGGGGTTCCGCGCCTCCTCCCGCCGCCGGTCCAGGTCCATGCGCTGCCGGGACAGAACCGGTCACAGCGGCTCTGGGCAGGGCTCACCGGGCTTGGGGGTGGGATGGGGATGAGGGATGGATCCAAAGAGGGATTCTGAGGGGATCGGGGGCATCTGAGGTGGGATGGGATGGGATGAGGGGGATTGCTGCTGAGGGAGGAGCCATGCCCAGAGCCAGAGGCTGCTTTGGGAACCGGAGGAACTTTGGGACTGGAAAATATTTTGGGAGTTGAGGGAACCAACTCTGGGAACTGCAGGACTTTTGAGAACTGAGGCAGGTTTGGGAACTGCAGGAACCACACCGTGAGAATGGGAATTGTGAGCTGGTGGAGCCACAGTGGAAGCTGGGGGTGATTTGTGAGAGGAATTCTGTGAGCAGCACAGGCTGCACAGCCAAAGCGTTGGGGAGTTTTGGGAACTGAGAAGTTTGGGAATTGGGAGAGTTTTGGGAATTGGGAGAGTTTTGGGAATTGGGAGAGTTTTGGGAATTAGGGATGGTCCCAGAGCCACCGGCCTCCCCCTGCCCTGCTCCTCTGTCCAGGTCCAGCATCACTGGCATTTTGGGCACGGACACTCCCTGCACGCTGGGACTGGGTCCCTGAGGATTCCCCAGCCTGGGAATGTCGCTGCCATCGAGGCTCCTGCACCAGGACAAGCTCTCGCTCTTCAGCCCCCTCCCCTCCCCTCCCCTCCCTTCCCTGGGCTGCGGGAATTCTGGATAGGAAAATGGCTTTTTCCACACTCCTGGCCACGTCTCCTCCTGCTCTTCCTGGGGCTCCTGAGCTCATCCCGTACCAGAGCTGGGAGGCTCCTGCCCTTCTCCATCCTTCTCATTTATCCTCTTCCTCTCCTTCCTCCTCCTCCTGCTCATGGACACCTCAATTCCCCACTCTTCTCTTCCTCTCTCATGGAGACCCTAAAGCCCTCTTGCTACTCCTCTTCCTCTTCTCCTCCTCCTCCTCCCCTTTCTTCTCTTCCTTGGGGGATCTTCTGCTCGTCCTTGTCTCTTGCTCTCTGCTTTCTCCCCCCTTTTCCTTCCTCTTTGTGACATCTCCCTCCTCTTCCTCCTCCTCCCCCTCCTTCTGTCCTTCCTCTTCCTCCTCACAAGATCCTCACCTCCTGCTCCTTTTCCTCCCCATGAGACCCCTCCCCATCTCCTCCTCTCCCTTGGGAAATCTTCCTCCTCTCCCACCTCCTCCTCCCGTCCCGCCCTTCCTCCCTCCCCCGCTCCTCTTCCTCACCATGAACAGGTCGAACTCCTCCTCGTGCCGGGCGATCATCTGATTCACGGTCTCGTCGTCGGGCACCTCGTCCTCCTCCTGGGAAAACCCAAACCCAGGGATTCAGCCGCTGCCCCCAGCGCCTCGGGCACGGCCCCCCCGAGACCCCTCCGACGCTCGTTGGCTTCCCACGGCTCGGGGACCTTCCTCAGGGTTCGGGGGCCTTGCGCTCCCCTTCGCATCTTTCGCTGTCGCTTGACCCCGTTTTGGGGCACTTCAGGCTCGTTTCTGCTCGTTTTTGGGTGGCTTCAATGGATTTTTTTTTTTTTTGCTTGGTTTTTTTTGGATGGTTTTTCAGTGTGCTTTGCTTGGTTTTTGGGCTGTTCCTGTGGTTTTTGCTCATTTCGGGGTGTTTTAGTATCTATTTGCTCATTTTTTGGTACTTCAGCTCATTTCAGGGTGGTTCTAGCTCAGTTTGGGGCATTTTTAGCTGGTTTTTCAGTGTTTTTGTGTTCTTTTCCTGTTTTCAGGGTGGTTTTAGGCGGTTTTTAGTTCATTTTGGGGGGGTTTCGCTTTGATTTTCTTTATCAAGTTTTCTCATTTTTAGGCATTTTTATTCATCTTTGCTTTCAGCTCATTTTGGCTTTCACTCTTTTGTGGCTGTTTTTGTGCTGTCTTTAGATCATTTTGCCTCCTTTTGGGCCAGTTTATCTCACCTTTGTCACTTTCAGGCTGTTTTTAACTCACTTCTGGCACTTTCAGGTCAGTTTTACCTCACTTTCAGCCCTTTCAGTCAGGTTTTAACTCACTTTTAGAACTTTCAGGCTGTTTTTTCTCCCTTTTGGCACCTTCAGGTAGATTTTAACTCATTTTTGGCTCTTTTCAGGCTGCTTCTAACTCATTTTTAGCACTTTTGGTCTCATTTTAACTCCCTTCTGGCACTTTCATGCAACTTTTAATTCACTTTTGGCTGTCTTTAGGTTGTTTTTTTCCCCAGATCTGGCACTTTCAAGCCATTTTCATCTTACTTTTGTCACTTTCAGGCTGGTTTTACCTAATTCTTTACTTTTTCAGGCCATTACCATTTATTTGGCATTTCCAGGCCGCTCCTAACTCACTCGTGGCTGCTTCAGGCCATTTAAAATCTCATTTCTGGCACTATCAGGCCATTTAGATCTGACATTTGGCCGTTTCAATCTCACTCCTTGCTGTTGCCAGCCCATTTCTCTCTGGGTTCTGTCCCTCCCTGGCCGGCTGGGGCTCCTCGCGGGCCGGTCCCTGCCTGTGGCGCGGCGGTGCCGGGCAGTGCTGGCGGGAGGATTGAATGGGCAGTGGAGACTGAACGACCCCGCTCACCTTTAGAGGTGCTTCCTCCGACTCAGCGCCCAGGCACAGGGAGGAGGCAGCGTGGGGGAAGCTGCCACTGCCCGCGCTCTGTCTGCTCTGTGGATAAACACAGGGATTCAGTCTCCAGGGCTGTCAATCCGGCGCCTTTGTTCCCGACGCTACTCCCAAAAAATTCCAAACAAGCCGCCATGCTCCTGCTCTGGGGTTGGTTTGTTGGCTTTTTT